TAGCTCAATACTTCTCCTCCTACCGGGGCCAGCCGAAGTTAGCGCGACGTGCCTCGGCTTAATGAGGTCGCTTCGCACCTCCCTAATTATGCCTCGAATATAGGTGCGAGACAAGTCATTAACGAGGTCAAGCGTACCAATTTCTACCTACCCCTACCTGACTCCCCGTGACCACTCTCGGATCCACCATCACCCACCGAGGCCACATCGCCTCAATAAATATATTATTACAACGACTACCGTCATACAGTCATTGTGCTCGACGTGATGAAATGAGCAGGGATGAAGGCGTGACGTTCAGTCTACCATGGCCTATATGGTGTACTGGTGCACTACGGCACGAAACGAGTTTTGCTTCAAAGCTCCTGATGGCAACATTTGTGGAAGTGATCAAGGAAGCAGCGGACTACTTGCGGATATATTCACAACCGAAGCATCACAATGAAGTACGTGGGCCGACTAGCAGAAGCGGAGGCTATTTTCTTGTCGACAAAGCAAAATATGGCTTGATAACTATGTGAAACTGCGTGAATAGTGGGTAAACAGTCTGTAGTTGCGCATTTCTGACGCGGTCTGGTAGAGTGTTGTCATTCAGCACATGTGGCCAAAGCGACATCAGGGCTGCAAAAAACCCCTTTGAAGCCTTTTTCATCCATTCAAACGGGAACAATATGACAGCGGTAAGCGCAGGAAGTCTTACGACACAATTTTTCCGAATGATAGGATGTGGAGTTCTGGAAATAAGCTGCACTCTAATATACTCGCCTGCTATATTACACTGCTATGCAGTACTGGTGTGTTTCTTCAGTTGAGATGTATATACCACGTATAGAGTACGAGAAGTGCATGGAAAATAAAGTGAAAATTTATGGGCCTTTTGCGGATAATGACATCGCTATTTGTTGCGTGAATTACGTTTTAGCCATATCTGCGTCTTATGAATTGTCCAGCCTGCAACATCAGAATTCGAAAAGTTTTATGTGTAAACGAAGCTCGCCAGAAATTGATCCATTTCTTTTTCCAATAGTGGTTTCCTTTTCCTCTGAATTGACTGCAAAAAAAGTAATCAGGGTATAACAGAAAACTACTAGATAATCCTCAAACCCTATACAGCCCGTAACTTTTATGAGTTCCTGTGTCATTCCTACTTTTTTTGATGTAAAACTTATTCACTCGCCAAAAAACTGTTAATACATGTCGAGATCCCTGAGATCGGGTAGGCGTGGCCGCATGTTTCAACTTACCCTTAAGGCGTCTACGCTTCTGATGCGATATTTTCATCTCGACACAATCGTTGTCGTGTCTCTGTCCAACAGAGAACAAGATGACAGTTGTCCCAGACTGGAATATTCCACTATTAACCAGTAACCAGTTCCTTACAGTGTTCGAATGCTCCGCCTACCCGATGTCAGGGATTTCGAGTATACAGTCCTCATCATTGCGGACCGGTGGGGCGTGTCAGCCAGTATGAGTGTGCACACTGTTGAAGCCGTTCTCAGCCTTTTTGTTGAAACGCGTATGCGACAAAAAGTGGTAGAAAACGAGTAATACGAAGGATATAATACAGTAATGTCACTTGCCCGCTTCAACAACTGGTGCAGAACGACTTTGGCACCGCGCCAAACGCAGCCGCACTGACACGCCCCACCGGTCCGCAATGATGAGGACTGTATGTGGAGCGATACCAGAAATCCTGTGTACATGACTATGTCAAACTG